CAAAACGCACTCTTCTTGATTGTTGCCAGAGAGACATGGTGGATATCCCTTCTCTGTAAAATAGGGAGTAATCTCCAACAGATCTCTATTTTGCTTGGCTTATCCCATTGCCTTCATCTCTCAAGTAAATGCAGAGCACCACAGCATCTCACTTTTTGGAGAAGGAGGAATTTCTAATGCTCTAAGGTTGTAAACTTTTCCTGGATGACCAGACAGATTGACTACCAAGAACAGGAAGTTATAGAGCAAAAGTGATGGGAAATTTATTTACCCAACCCCCTTACTCAAATCATCCAGTTTGAAACTCGAGGATTTAGTGTGTTTTTCCCTTGTGTGGCAGGTTGATGTTTTGCTCACCTAATAATCCCAGGCTTTTTAGAGCTTGCACAATTCAGAAGAGTATGAAGACTTTCTCATAGTAAATGTATTACTTTTTTGTTTTTGTAGTTTTGTTCTCGTAGTTAGGTCAATTTTTCACCTACTTTTTCAGCTGAATTCATTAGACAGTTATAACTAACTGTAGTCAGACCTTGCTAGACTCACGTTATCAAATTGGAAATAAATTATTTTTATCTAATCTAACTGCAACATAAGGATAAATTGAAGTTTTGAAAAGTTGTAATAAAAACTACAAGCGTGTAACTGTGCCTAACATTTTTACTAGAATAGAACCTTAAAGGACATCTTTCATGACTGGGACTCTTTGGATATGTCTACATTGCATTCCTCCTTCAAGAGAGGAATGCAAATGCAGACAAACAAAATTGCAAATGAAGCACAGATTTGAATTTCCTGCACTTCATTTGCATAATAGCAGCCGGCCGCTTTTCCTAAATAGCATAATCCTAGAAAAAAAGCGGTTATTTCGAAAAGAAACCCTTCCTTCGAAATAACCTTTACTCCTTAAAAAATGAGGTTTAAGGGTTATTTTGAAGGAAGGTTTCTTTTTGAAATAATCCCATATGGACCACTTTTTTTTTCTTGTAATACAGTATTTTGGAAAAGTGGCTGGACGCAATTATGCAAATGAAGCGTGGGAAATTCAAATCCACGTTTCATTTGCAGTTTCGTTTGTCTGCATTTGCATTCCCCTCTCGAAGGAGGAATGCAATGTAGACATACCCTTTCACATATTGTATGTGCCTTCAGATTAATACAAGATTAGTCTTTGTCAGGATGGGAAGTTACTACATTTTTTTTCTTCTGCCTTTAATGTATGTTTTGCATGGCAGGCATGTTTGTTTTGTATTTGAAATATCATGCCAATTAGTTTTTAAAACCCAGCATAAATTAGCACAAAAAATAGATTGGAGTTTCTCATTAAAAATATTAATAAAGGAAAGAAGGAAATATTTCATTAGTTTATATGTTGTTCTATTCACTGCTGCAGAATGCATAAAATTAATATTAATTCATAAAGATGTGTATAACTGCCATTTTGCAAAGATAGTATAGTAGGGTCGTAGATGAGAAAAAAAGCCAGCTCAAATTCGTGTCCCTATTGCTGCCTGTACTTAAACACTGTCAAAGGAAATCATTCTCTTCCCTTTTAATCAAAATGTGGAAAACACAAAACTCAAAAAGAAAAATCATAAATGAAAATATCTCTGTATCTCTGACAACATAATGTGTTCATATAAATTAGAAATAGACCAACTCTCAGGTCATCTAATCCATGCCACTATCAATTCAGGTTTGTTCCCAACTATATACTTCCTACTGCTTTTGCAGTTCATTTTTAAAAGTCTAAAGTAATGGTACTCCTGCTGCTTCCTTTCGAAACTATTATACAATTTAATAGATCTCACTGCAAGGAAGTTTTGCCTGGTATTCCATCTAACAGCATGTTGTACATCAATGTTTGTTTCACACCTGTGACATAGAGTAGACGTGGGTTATTATGATAACATCTGTTAGAAAAGCAAGCACCAAATTTTAAACTATAGAATTCTAAAATTATATACATTTAAATTAGAAATATAAATACGATCCTGGCTCATTGGCCCATAGTAAGTCCCCTTTACGATATTCCAGTGATGCAACCAAGAGGACTTAACACTGCTTTAATGCAACAACTGAAGATTCCTCTGGCTTCAAGCTGCAGTAGCCAGCTACTTTCTTCTTTGGAAGTGGTGGCATGAGGGGTGAGACCAGAGCACAATGTGATCCAGCGATCCACACTTGCAGAGCAGATCCTACAAAGTTGATCGGGGCATGCAGTTGAATGGAGACAGACAAAGGCTAACTTTAAGCAGTAGACTAACTTTATTAGCTTACCCCCTACTCTTTTTTACCAGGCATATAAGTTTGTCCAGTGAGGTGGGTTAAATCTGTGGGATGATGTGAGCCTAACTATAGGAAAGCAGGAAAAAGTTTATAACATGTTACAGTAATCTATAATGATGACTTGATGGGGAAAGGTGAAAAAGAGAGACAAGTGAACTGAAGTAGGTGGAACAAAGAAGGCTTTTTGATCTAACTCAGGGACCATTTTGAGACCATTCCTGGTAAAAAATTAAGTCTGGAGCTGGAAATCAGTGACCTAAAGTTGGTATGTTGGAAATTAGTTCTAATGGGTGGACAAAATAATGAGGGGTGGGCTATTTCACTCATCGCTCCCTTTGGGCATCCTCAGAAAGAGACTGGGTGTGGAAAATTGATGGATGTAGGTGCTGCTGGCTGAAAGATGGGAGAACTGGTACGAACAAGCCTCATGACTATGGCTGGCTAGGACCCCAGAATTTGCGCTAACACCTTTGGGCCTTCCTTGTCCTAGTCCCAAAAGATGTTCTTTTTCTTCCTTATTTTATTTCTCCTCTTTCTAATCTCTGTGCTTTTGCCTTCTCTCTAATAAGACTGTGGGATAGCCAGCCAAGAGTGTGTTTTGTAATGTTTTGTTAGTCTGCGATCAGAAAGCAAGGCCCTAACTAGTCCAATGTTGGTACAAGTTTGCCTTGTCCTGGGGGTGGGGGTGTCAATCAGACTATGTGCTGTGTCTGTGTTTTTCCACGAGTATGGCTGCAAGTGAAAGACGGCACCAGAAGCAGGAACTATTTTTTTTAATCTGTTCTTTCCTCCTCCTCCTTATGTGTGTTTGTCTTGGTTTGTCTTCAAGAAAACAAGATTGGACTTTACAAATGTCAGCAAAAAAAACCCACTGCAAACTAGCTCAACTAACTTCTTGGCTTTTCCCCAAAAAAGAGAGTTGTCATCTATAATACTATCTAAAACAGGGGTTTCAAACTCCCAGCCCACAGGCCATCCCCAGCCAGAGTGATTGTGCAATCCATCCCAAGACTCGGGAAAGGGAAGGGGGCTATCCATTATAGGCCCCCCAAGCCATGTCCCTTCTCACCATTGCCCCACCTTCTCCCCCCCATGAACCCTGTCGCCCAAAGATGTGGCTTTGGGGATCACCGAGCAGACCTGGTGCCATGTGGCAGAAGCAGCGGGAGAGGGGAAAGTGGCATAATGCCAATTAAATACTCTCTTCCTAGATACACTGAGCAGTGCTGTGGTATCGCTGGGAATCAACCCCACATTGCTGATTTTCTTCAATGCTTTTTCACAGACATTCATTATGCATTCAGGGTGCTGTAAAATAACCCCTAAATTTTGACAACCAGTTAGTCCATTTATGGACAAAAAGTGCCAAATTTATCCTTAGCTTAGCCCCTTTTTAGCAAGATAGTCCAGTAAATAATATCTTTTTACTCTAAAATTTCTCTAGTCTGGCACCCTTGGGACTTGACCAATAAGGAACCAGAGAATTTCCCAAACCACCAGAGGTCAGTATGGTCTAGCAGCATTACCAACACTTCCACTGCTTGTGGACTCTTAGAAGACATTTAGGGGTAAATTAGAGCTAAATAACAGCACAGAACGCTGAGAACCAGGATTGGTGGCTGTAAATAAACTTTATGGGACCATGGGAAACTTGGCCACACCCATGATAAGTGGACATCCAGCTAACTAAAATCATGCTGGACCACAGATGTTGCTAACTAGAGAGGATAACCTGTAGTGATTTTTACATACTGCTTATGCTGTAGTATGCTCTGGCATGATAATGTCAGTTGACGGTGGAGCAGAAGTATTTGGTCTTTATTCTGCATTATTTTGCAATGGTGGATTTAATTCAGCCACCTTTTTGTGGATTATTTAGGCAAAAACAAAGCTTTACTTGTCCCTCACACCAAGCAACACCCCTTATGCCATGCTATGGCATCAGAAAAGACTGCTACTCACTGTTGGTCTGCAGTACCACTTAATTGAGGTGACTTTAATAAGGGATGATTGATTAACTCTGAAGTGAGCTGAGAGACTCTACTGTACTGTATTTAGATTTTGTGTTCCTTCTATACTGAGAGACCTCTGAGACTTCATGGCGGGCATTTTTTGTGTACGAATTTATTAGGTGCCTATCATTAGGGCATCAGGCCACCATTATATACATTCAAAAGCACATGAATAATCAAAGCTAATAGAGATGGAAGACAGCTGATGTTTTAAATGTCTGTGTGCAAATTAAACCGAGGTGAAATTAAAATGTCAGTGCAACTTTTAGAGTATCTCCTGACTGAGGATGTGAAATTATTCTTTATAATGTTTAAATTTGTGAATTGCGGGTCAAACACATGCAAAAAGACACTAAATTAATGTCCTTCTCCTACGTTAATGTCCTCCTCCTCCTCTGAAAATCAGGTGTTTGAGTAGAACATATGGAGAACTTAGGCCAGTAGTTTTGAAGAGATCAGCATAACTAGTTATTGTGCACTTGTAGTTGATAGTCATGATGCATTTTTCTAGTTCTCTTTTTCATTGATAAAGCTTTCATTGTGCATGTTTGTAATATATTTTGTTGGCCAAGATAAAAGCCTTTGTGTGATTTTGCAGTTAGATTCCTGTGTAACACAGAGAAATGTTAATATGTACTTTGGAACATTCCAGTTTCTTGATTATTGTTTCCTGATGTCTTATTTTCTGCCTCTTGGATTTAGCTCCTCTTTCATTCAGGTGTGCTGGTGTCCCTAAGCATTTCTGGGCCACAGCTGGAGAAAGTGGTGATTGACAGGACCCTGGTGGGGAAGCTCATCTCCGACACCATCACTGATGGTAATTACACCCATGTGCAAATCAATTGCCTACATTAACAATAGAGCAGGAGAAATAGTATGTCAACAGGTAGACTAATTATTGCCACTGGGGACTTGCAAATACAACAAGTAATTGCATGTAATGCCATCATTAGAACCCTCAGGACCAAGAACAGTTTGGGAATAACACTTAACATCAAAGTTTTCAGTCTTGTCAAATATTGAATGGATTTTCTAAAATTCTGTTTCTTACACAATTTAAACACTAGTACTTGCAGCTGTTTGCATGGTTACTTCATGCACAGAGGAAAGGGACAGAAACAGATAAGAATGAAATAATTCATTAAGCAGGATTTTTATATCTATACAGAATGTTCAGTTATAAAAAATAACAGGATAGCACTGTACAGAGTGGCCTAATTTCTAAATTGTAGGCTCCCAGAAAACTAATATTTCTAATTGCTAATGACTGCTATTTCAGTGAGATGTGTTTATTTCAAAATCCAGTGTATATGAAATATGTCAGTTTTCAACAACAGCTTTGTAATATGAAAGTCTTCTTCATTTTTGTTTTGTTAATGCTCCACTGCGAACTTCCATTGAGAACTATAATCAGACATTAGTATCCTGGCATCTGAATGATCACGAATATACAATTTCATTTTGCACCTGAGTAGATATGAATTTTACTCTGAGTACTCAGAGCTTAAGTCCAAGTTTTGTACTTAAATATCAATGTACATCTGAGTGCATGAGAGCTCCCTTTGATATCTGGGGGCTTAGGCCCAGATACTGAAATTGAAAATGAAGCGCGGGATTTAAATATCCCGTGCTTCATTAGCATGTTCCCGGGCGGTCGCCATTTTGGAAACTGACTAGCCCAGAATAACTGCCTGCATCTACACGCGGCAGTGAAATGGGAGTTTGAAGTAAACCCCTAACTCGAATTAGCTGTTACTCCTCATGGAATGAGATTTAACAGCTAATTCAAGTTAAGGGGTTTACTTCAAACTCCTGTTTCACTGCTGCGTGTAGACGCGGGCAGTTATTCCGGGCTAGTCAGTTTCCAAAATGGCGACCGCCCGGGAACATGCTAATGAAGCACGGGATATTTAAATCCCGCGCTTCATTTTCAATTTCAGTCGCCCTCATCAGCCTTCCTGGTTCAAACTAGGGAGCTAGTGTAGACGTACCCTAAAGAGACATAGGTGCTGAGACTGTCATTTAGAATTCCCTGGTTTTTTTACTTTTTTCACAGTTTTTTTAAATTAAAAATTACTTAACCTTCTAATATTTGATTGATTAATTAATAAATCTTAACAATCATACCTCTCAAGAAAATTGTAACAATCAAAGTTATACTTCCAAAGTTACGGTTACAAAATGGTCTCTATTCCATCCTTTGTTTTCACTTGCTCATAACTTTCTGAAATTTTCAACTTTCAGTTTAAAAATGCTCAGTTCTGAAAGTGAAATATTTGTTAAAGTTTGTGCTAAAAAAATGGCAACATACTTCTGCTCAATGAGAGCCAGATAAAGTGTCTTTTTCTAATTTTAAAAAGTAATCTTATGAACTTTTTGAACATTTCCATTGTCCAGTCAATAGGAGCTGAAGGTTGAATTTTTGGTATATCCATTGCCATCTTTGAGAAGCAGCGCACAAAAGAAATTTCTCCAGAAGACATTGGATTTAATTTGCCCTAATAGTGTGGTTTTCAGAGTCTGTTTTGTATTTGGTTTGGCTTTTGGTTTGGTTTGGTGTTTTTTGTTTTTGTTATCATCAAATGCGCAGCAAAGAATGAATATTGCTATACATGCATGTGGAGCTAGCTTATTTACAGCAGAAATGCCCAGTCATACATTCTGAGGACTGACAAGAATACCTGAGCGGGAGGGAAAGAAAAAGTCTGTTGCCAAAATGGAATCCATTTATGCAAAGTCAGATTAAAGCCCAAGAAATTAACTTAACACACTATGGATTTAGGCCTCCGGATTGACCCAAAATGTCAGACATGCCTGTGTAAAACCCTATTGAAGTCCATAGAAATTTGCCTGGGCACTGGGGATCTATGTACAAAAATCAGTTTGCAGGATTGGAGCCTAAATATACAACAAAAAGAGTATGCTGCCATACAAGGCCACTTAAATGCAAAAATAAATAGCTTCCTAGTTAATGTCCTCCTGGTGAACTGCACTTAAAGAAGGCTCTGCTGACGATTGAAGATAAGCTAGCATGCAGCATCTAACAAGCTTCTTAAATAATTTGTCATTGCTGTATGGTATTTAATATATAAGGAGTCTAAATCCAAAGATATCAGTCCATTTTAACAATGATATATGTAGAAAAATGGGAAATATTACAAAAATACACAAATGTGCAGAACTTTCAGGATCATTATTTGCATGGCTTGAGAAGTTGTATGCCATTCTAAAATAGAGATTGTAACACAATGCATGCACGAGGAGCTAAATTAAGGTTGCATATATAGCCTTAACTAATATTTCCTGACTTTTGAGTGGTTAGCCATTCAACTTTAATATTTTATTAAACATAATTCTGAACTATGAAATATGTACAAATTTGTGGCTGCAACTGTGAAGAAGAGGCAGATGCATTTATTGTTAATTCTATCCTTTAACAAAATATAATAAACTAGCTAAATAAAGAAAAGATTGGCATGGGAAAAGACCCCATTTACATAAATCAATGTCACATACCTTGCAGAACAGGCAGGATAGTCATAACTATCGTCCACGTCTCTTGACATTTCAAAATTCCTAAATTCTGTTAAAACATTGTGATCTCATGGCAGGCATGTGGTAGATTCATAGCCCAGTACCCTGCCTAATCTTTGAAAGCTTACTGGGGCATTATGAGCCTGTAGAGCTGCATTCCTGTTCCCTTTAAGGGCCTCTGTGGTCAGCGTAGTCAGGATTGTTTTAGACCTAATCGGGCGCAGGAAATAGGTCTTTTCCTGGGTGTGCTCATCTAAACAGATACTCCAAATTTCCAGGTATTGATGACAACTGAATGTCCTGAATATATGCCTGATTCAGGAAAGAAGAATTATGAATGGATGGCAGTCCTTTTGATAATATCTTATACCACCCTCTTTTTCCTCCCAAGCCCCTCTTGAAATCTTTTCTGATACCCAAGACTATAATTTAGTTTTGCACCCTAGCAATCACCAGGTGGCTCTGAATGTCCCAGCTGTGCTGCCAGTCTAAACAATAAGAGTCATGTTTCCTGTTCCCACCCCTTCATCCAATATCCAAGCAACCAGAGCTTTGCAGAGTCTGAAGAACCAACTTTCTCTATTCACCACTCTCACCTGCTCATAGGTCTCCAATCCCTCCTCTGTGTTTAGACCCACGTTTCAGGAGTGTTCTGAGGTTTGATGTAGGCCTGTCTGTAGTGTAGCAGAAATATTTATTTAAAGCTTGTTTCTAGTAATATAGTGTATGCAATTGCATATATACACACAGGCCATGTGAATTTTCTTGTGTGTTAAAAATCTCAACTGTAGCATCAAAGGGACAGTGTCAGTTAGTTTAGGCCCAAAGTTTTGTTTCAAAAGTTTCCTTTTATGAAATTTTGAAATATCAGGGATCACAGTTTGTTTAAATCCAAACATTTTCCTTTGACACTTGCATACCAAATATTGCAAAATTGTGTGAACGCCTGACGATGTGAAAGTGCAGCTGTTTATAAAACAAAAAGCAAAGCTGACTAATTTACTTTCATGGTTCAAGGTGAGTGTAATGTAAGAATAAGCTATCAATATCAGTTATTAAAAGTAAATTATAAAAATTCTCATAGATCTAAGAATTTAGGGTATTATTTACAAATGCAAAGGTGTTTTTAAAATAGATTTTTATTAACCAGGTCCTTTATTTTTTTAACCTGATTCTATCCCTTTTGCATAGGTTTCTGCATTTAATTCTTGAAAATGAATCTCACAATTTGACTAGAATCATATTTCTGTCCAAAGAGCAATTTTCAGTCATTTACTAACCATCAAATTGCTGTCTGAATTCTCACACATCCTCTTACAGATGTTCACTGTTCAGAGCACAGCTCAGTGTTTGGGGAAACCTTAAATTATTGGCAGTGTTGTATCACTCATTTTCTTTATTAACCTATGTTTTCTCTGTAGTGCTAGTTAATCTATTTTACATTTAAATATTTCCATTTATACTAGATGGTAACACAATACCATGTGATTCCACAGGCATTTTCCAGACTTCTCAGGAATACATTCACTCATGGACATGCACATGATTTAGATCAAGAGCACTGAAACAGAATGTCCTGTGTAAAACTTTCAATAGTTTCATTTTTGCCCATAACAAAAATGATATGAAGAACAACATTCTTGACTACTGTGGTAGCCTCTGCTCCATCATTTATTGTTTATTCTTGACTGATAATGTAAAATTACCAAATTAATCTCAAACAATAATTTGTCTTTGACCAGCCCAAATGCAAACAGTGCTGTGCAAAGCCACAACCCCAAAATATCAATGGGAGTTGTTTTGGGCAAGAGACTAAGGAAGGTACCAAGATGAGACTGAGGGACAGGAATAAAACACTGATTAGAGTGATAATTTGATATAAGATAATTTATTCAGTTTTATTTAAGTACACCGTAAGCTTTATTTCTCATTTCCAAGAAGGTCCTGGCAAGATGACACATTGATTCCTTTTAGGAGATTACACAGACTTCAGTGTAGTTTTTAAGACATGGTCTTGAGAAAAATTGCTTTTTCAGTGTCTCAGTGGAAAACTCAGTAATTTGTTATTTGTAGTAGGTATTACAGTGGTGACAATTTTTATTTGTTTTTCAGCTGTTCTTACAGACAGTTTCATCATCTTGTCATTTTGGGAGCAAAACAAACTCTGCTTTATTCAGTTTACAAAGAAGACAGGTTCTCCTGATGTAGACAAAAGACTGGAAAAACTCTCCTCCTTGGATTTTAAGGTATAGCAGTCAATGAAGACTATAAATACCATATCAACTTTATGCTATGGACCACTAGGACTGCCTGATAGAGTATTGCACAATAAAATACTGGTCTTTGACATAACTCCTTACCTGCCATTCTAATGCAAATACTTTGCGTTCTAAAAATGAATTTATATCGCAAAGTCAGAAAATATCTGAATGGATTATACTTTCTTACCTTTAAAAAATTGATGTGCCAATATTGGTCCAGTTTTTAATATGTTTAGTGTAAGATTGTTACAGTTATTTGAAGATTGTTACAAAGCTGATTGAAGCAAAAGTGTGATTATTTAATTATTCCTCTGTAGAAGATCTTGAGTATGTAGATGACATTGAAGAGACTATTGACCAACTATACCTAATGCTGGGAAAACGGCAAGATCTGTGGTGATTAAACCAAAGGCATCCATGCCTCCTATAAAAATAAAGCTTATAACTTGCCTGGCACTACACGTAGAAGCCAATGACATTGAATGGGTGAATAGTTTTATTTATATGAGTAATCGGCTGACAGCAGGCATGGCTCACATTGGATGCATTTCAGCATCTTCAAAGGCCTCTGATTAGGTGGCGGGATGCCTGTGTTACAACTAAGGCTACAGCTAGACTGCAGGGTTAATCGGAAAATGATATGCAATTTGCAGTATGCAAATTGAGTATCTTTTTCTGATTTTCTGTCAAAAGAGGCTTTTCCAAAATTTGGCGCATCTACATGGTGCCAAATTTTGGAAAAAAGTGCTCTTTTGACACATCCCTTGTGCCTCGTAGAACAAGGTTTACAGGGATGGCGAAAGAGTGCGTCTGCTTTTTCAAAACATTTTTCGGAAAAGCGAACGTGTTCCTTGGACGTGGCGTTGTTTTCCTAGGATACCTCCAGTATCCTGGAAAAGCAATGCAGTCTAGAGGTAGCCTAAGATATGAGTGTTCAGTGCAGTAGTGATGGCAACATGTTGTATGGTGCAGAACTGTGGCCATTAAAAACAGCTGGGGAGAGGAAACAAAACAATCGTCGGTGCCAAAAGTCAGGTTGATTTTTGTCACAAATGAAGAGATACTGTGATGATCCCAGCAAGTTGCATTCTTGAACGAGTTAAAAACAAGATGACGGCAGTGATGGGGTCATGTGCAGAAGGAGGTATGTTCTTACAGGAGGTTTATGGAACAGAGGTTGAAGGAAGCAGCGCATGAGGCCAACCATGAATGCTATGTGAAGATGCAATTCTGAGGGATTCAAGAATTGTAAATCCTCCCAGACTGATTTTTGTCAAAAGAAAACTTGCAAGGGAGCATTCAAGATCAAAGACTCTTCTATACCCCACCATATCTACATCGTAGGCATATAAATAGGTTGCTTTTGTCTCACAGTTGTATGTTTAGAAGTTGTTATTCTCCGTCTAGTTACAATGCTCATTTCCTAGGAGTAGGGGAGAGAGGGTGGCATTATGGGAAATATGACTACAGTTCCCGTGGGCAAGTGGTTTAATCACTGTATAGCTCATTTCCCCAGCTGTACAATGAGAGCTGTAATATTCCCTTTCTCCTGGTTTTTGTCTATTTGGATTGTAACCTGTTTGACTTTTAGTACGATGGGGTCTTAAGCTCAGCAGAGTCCTGTAAATCAATGTTTTTCAAACTATGGGTCACGACCCAGTACTCAGTTGTGGAATGTCAGGCACTGGGTCTCATTGGCTCAGGAGGATCAGGTGACCAGTGGGGGTGCTAAGGCAGCTACCTGCCTATCCTGGCACTGCAGACTGTGCTGCGCCTCAGAAGTGGCCAGCAGCAGGCCTGGCTCTTAGGTGAGAGTGGGGGACAGAAGGGTGCACAGGGCTCCATGCACTGCCGCTGCCCTGAGCACTAGCTCTGCATTCCCATTGGCTAGAAACTGCTACTGGCTGCTTCTGGGGCACAGCATGGTCTGTGGTGCCAGGACTGGCAAGAAGCCTGCCTTAGTGCCCCCGCTGTACGGCTGCCTGGGAACCGCTCCAGGTAAACCCTCCTGCCCCAGCCCTGACACCCCCCTAAAGCCAAAGCCCTCTCCTACAGCCCAAAGCTCTTGTCCTCATGCCCACCCCAGAGGCCACACTTTAGTCAAATTATGTTGTGTCGTGGGAATCAACAATTTTCTTCAACTGGGTCATGCGAAAAAAAGTTTGAAAACCACCGTTGTAGGTGCTAGTGCAAAATAAATAATGAGAATAATCGTCCAGGTTCTCTTTGAAGGCCATTGGCTTCTAACAGAAAGGTTGAAGTTTCTAACTTACTGCAAGAATAGAGGACAGAAGACTATCTTCCCCCAAAGGCCAGAAAGATATTTAGTAAGCAGGAGGAGGAGGAGAGTTTGCACTTACTACAACCTGGATAAACATTAATGACACAACCTTGTGCAAGCTATCAGAGGCGTCACCATGTTAGTCTGTTCTTGCAAAAACAATGAGGATTCCTGTGGCACCTTTAAAGACAAACATTTATTTGGGCACAAGCTTTCATGGGCAAAACTCCACTTTGTAAGAGGCATGTCAGATGACTCTGGCGAAGCAAGGTTTTGCCATTGATAGCTTATCCCCAAATAAATCTGTTCATCTTTAAAGGTGCCACACGGCTCCTTGTTGTTTGTGCAAGTTCATATTCTTCCCTCCCCTTTCCCCCCTCCCCATCACCTACAGGAAATTAGTTTCCTTCTATATGGGAATTTGCAGGCATATTGTAAGGAATGTGTTTGATTTAAGTTTTGTCATAATACATTTTAACTTGCAAGGTAGGAATGCTTTCTGCTAGGGTGAGTAATACATTTTCCAGGCTGTTTCAGTTCAGGGCCTCTTTTCAGCAGTGACTTGTGTTTGCGAGATTGAGCCAACCTCTGTAACGTGGATTTGAGACAGTTCACTGTTCACTAGGAACTGAGCTGATACAGTTTACTTTAAAATGATGCACATTTATGCCTTGCCTATAGTATTTATTAAGGTTGCTACTTTAGAAGCAGGACTGATGCCCCTAAGCCAAACTATTCCCCTAAACTTTAATTGAGAAATTGTAATGAACTCGTGCTTATCCTGATCATTTCCTTGTAAGGGCTATGTCTCCTGTGTTTGCTTTATACTTATATATCACATTTTTATTCTGGATTGCAGTAAGAGTATTTCTGAACCTAACTGTGGTGCCCTTTTACTTGGAAAAGAGGGAAAAATCTAATCCGCAGAAACATCTCACTGTGCTAGGAAATCAGAAATAGCCTCTGTGTTCCTTTATAGGGTTGTTATATTTTGTCTCAGCTGAGTTCTGGAAGACTTCTACAGACGATACTAATATTGCTTTCTCTAGAACAGTGGTTCTCAACCAGAGTTTCAGGGGTCTTCCAGACATTTTTAGATATTTGCCTAGTTTTACAACAGGCTACATGAAAAGCTCTAGCAAAGTCTGTACAAACTCAAATTTTGTACGGACAGAATGAGAAAGTAAGCACTTAGTCAGTAATGCTGTGCTGTGACAAGTAGTGTTTTAATGGAGGTGAAACTTTGTGGTATGCAAGACAAATCAAGCTCCTGAAAGGGGTTTAGTGATCTGGAAAGGTTAAGAGCCACTGCTCTATGGTTGGTTGGTTGGTTTGTTTCCCCCCCCCCCCCCAAAAAAAAGCCATTAGCATTTTTAACTGCATGCTTTTTGTGTCAGGCTTACTAGTTAGGCTGCTAAATATAAATGTTATTATCTTTAAACTGCAGCAGTGTGAACCACCATGAAGTATTATTCACTATTGCAAGCAGGGGAGCAGACAACCACTCCAGGCTCCTAGGCAAGATGGGAAGTGCCCAGCTCACACCTGTGTAAGCAGCAGGCCTCAGATAGCAGGGATGGGGCCAAGGGCCGCTGGTGACTGGAGTCGCAAGCCCTTTGAATTGCCAGGCTGTGGGGCAGTTGCCTCCTTCCCCTGCCCACCCTCCTACAGCAGGCCTGACTGCAAGACTGTTACATCAGCTTTCCTTTGTAATATGCAGGTATTCAGAACTGCCCCACCTGGATCAAACTAATGTATAATGTCTAGATCACAGAAGCAATAGAGTTGCAAATGACAATGATAAGAAGCAAAGATTCTATTCAGTGAGAAATCTGGGGCACTATAACAGTTCCTGAATATTGACCTTATTCACAGGAGCTGGATGCTTTGTCAAAAAGGCAGAAAAAAACCGTTTAAGGTTTGGTTAAATCATAGGTCTAAGATTCAGAAGCTCTCCGTTCAATCCTTGTCTTTGTCACCGACTTCCTGGGTGGCCTTGGGCAATTCATTTAATCTTTTTTGTGTCTTCTTGTTGTGCTATCTCAAAAGAGATATATTAGAATTGGAAATGTTTCAGAGAAAGCTAGTAAAAATTATTAAGGATAAAAGAAAGCTCCCATGTGAGAAGAGATTAAAAAAGGCTGGGACTGTTCAGCTTACAAAAAAGACAACTGGGGCCAGGTCTACATTAAAGGGGAAGGTCGAATCAAAATACACTAATTACGTAGCTAGAGTTGACATACCTTATTTCGAGTTTCTCTGCTATCCCCACAGTGGGAGGCCGATGGGAGTAAACACTCCTGTAGGCTTCCCTTACTCCTTGCAGAAGCAGGAGTACTGACTGCCAAAAGGCGTGCCCTCTGAGTTCGATTTAGGAGGTCTTAACTAGACCCCCTAAATAGAACTCCAGAAGATTGATTGCAGCAGCATCCATCTCCTTTTAGTGATGACATGGCCTAAGATTGTGGAGAAAGTGAATAAGGAAGTGTTATTTACCTCTTCACATAACACAAGAACAAGGGATCACCCAATGAAATTAAGAGGCAGCAAGTTTAAAACAGTCAAAAGAAAGCATTTCCTCACACAATGCACAGACAACCAGTGGAATTTATTGTCGGGATGTTGCAAAGGCCAAAACTATAACTGGGTTCAAAAAAGAATTAGATAAGTTTGTGAAGGATAAGTCCCTCAATGGCTATTGGCTAAGAGGGTCATGAATGCAGCCCCATGCTCTGGGTGTCCCTAAGTCTCTGATTGCCAGATGCTGGCACTGAACGATAGAGAATGGATCACTCGATGATTTCCCTGTTCTGTTCGTTTCCTTTGAAGAATCTGGCTTTGGCCACTGTCAGAAGACAGGATATTGGGTTAGATGGCCCATTGATCATATACAGTGTGGCCATTCTCATAGTCTCATGTTCTTATTTGTAAAAGGAGGATATTTCCTGTCTCTCTTTAAATTGTAAGCTCTTTGGTACAGGGACCGTATTGTACTATGTCTTTGTTCAGGGCTTGACAAATGGTGTCCAATCTTGGTTGGGACATCTAGGCAGTATTGTAGTAATAATGAGTCAGTCAGGCTTGTTTGCTTTTCAGTTTTATGGATAGTTTTTATTTTTAGCCTCAATGCTTGGAGGCAGAAAAATAGTTTTGCTTTCCTTCAGCATGTCTCTGACTAGCAGGCTTGGCAGGCTCGGCTTTGGAGTTCACTGTTTATCTTTGGAAAGTATTCTAACTTTCAGATAAAGAATTAACGCTACGTATGTTCAGTATTTAGCTGGAAATTGTATTTGTGTACAATATATATCCAAGCGAATCCATCATTGGCTGCGTCTTTTTCCTTTTTGAGAAGTGCCATCTTGGGTTTTATATCAAAACAGTGACACTTTGGATAAAGATAATTGGAGCTATTATGTGAGTCCACAGCACTGTGTTCTTGGAGGCTGGCAAAACATAAGACCAGCTACTACCAATTCCTTATTCTCAAGAGGACTGTCAATGTTGAAGGTTTCATCTAACATATATAAGATTAAAAAAAAAAAACCTAGTAATATTGTGTTTAACTAGTA